AAAAAAAAAAAAAAAAAAAAAAAAAAAAAAAAAAAAAAAAAAAAAAAAAAAAAAAAAAAAAACTAGGGTCTTAAGAATAAGTTGCCCATGTAAGACTCAAACGATCAACAAAAAAGAAATTAAAAGATTAAATAGGACAAGGGTCTTAAGAAAGTCATTTATACACTGTAACAAGTAATTTTAAGGAGTTAGATAGAAGGATTGGAAAGGAAAAACTAGGTGAAAAGGGTAAAAATGTCATTTTTCAAATTATCAAGGATCTTTCCTAATTTTTAATTGTTTTTCTGGAAGAAATTTCAAGAACCAAAAAAGCTGACCAACAAGAGTTGAAGAATTCTTAGAAAACTTCTAGAATTTTCGAAAAAAAATAATAATAAAATATTCGAAAAATGGACAATTACCAAAATGTCTGTGAAGTTTCACTTCATTACAAACTTGTCATTAAAGAAAATCGGCCGGATTTGGTTCCAGAACTATCAAGCAGAAGAAAATCGATTTTATATTTACATCTGACCATTAGATTGAGCTGCAATTTGGATATGTTTAACAAGACTCGACTTTTTGTAGATCCAATGATTAAAATTGAAAATCAATGTCGGTAGCACCCTCATTGGAGTAAATATTTCCAATATAAAGAAACCTTTAAAATAAAAAAATGAGAAAATTCACACCATTTTGGAACAATCAATGCAATGTAAGCTTGATCTATAAATAAGATGTTATGGGTAGTGTTAGGATTCCTAAAATTGTGTTTTTCCTCATATATCATATAAATTCGAGGGTTGTGGTTAATGATTTTCGATCTTACCAACTCCAAAACATTCAATATGAGATTTCCAACAATTTTTGTGAACTAAAAGAGTCCCAAAAAGCTTTAGAATCGGTTCGAAGTTTGACTATTCGTTGAATTCGACACAGACGTATGAATAAAAACAATACCTTCACTATTTATTAAATAACAAAGTAAAGATGTGACTTTCTTTTAATTTTATACGTATCAAACCTTTTATATTAATGCATCAATAAATTTATTGGGTATGGTCTCACTTAGTAGATTGTGAGACCGTACCATATTAAAAACAACTTATTTCATTAAATATTAAAAATATCATTCTTTAATTAAAATAGAAAATTAATTATGACAAAATAAAAAAAAATGTAAGGAAATCATTCCATTCAAGAAAAAAAATAGTGATTCAGTTTTGCTTAGGTTTTGCTTTCTTAATAGCCAAAGAAACTTCCATGTACAATAATGCTATTTTAACGGTTGTGTGCTACTTTCAATTGGTGCAATGGTTAGGGTTCGAGCAATGCTTCCAACCGAATAATTCTTTGGGGTTAGAGCCTCCGAAGTTTGAGCGATGCTTCCAAAAGGTGCAACCACTAGGACTTCTATGTTACTCCCAATTGTGTGTATGTGATCCAAAGACATGAAATGAAAATTGATTACTCCCAATTGTGTGTATGTGATCCAAAGACATGAAATGAAAATTGATGATCGAGATTTACCACACTAGTGACATCGCTAAAAGTGGCATCCACTTTTGCACAATATTACTAAGCAATCACTTTAAAGAGGTTGAAACTTTTACCCATGGCCATTGTAGAGTGTCTTCAAAGTTGTAGGGTCACAAACTCTTTTCACCAATGATGAAGAGTAGCCGTGGGTTTAGGAAAACCTATATTTAAAAAAGGCAACAAAATTTAAAAAGCTCTCAAATTTGACTATTTAATTTCTAATTTCTCCTTCCTTCATTTGTGCCACAAAAATATAGAATTTCTGGCATGTAATAAATTAATATTTTATTTTATTTCATGAACTTTAATAGGGTAGAGATTTTCTTTGTACTTGATTGGATTATTTGCCTTATTCGTACAAACTCATTTATGGTAAGAATTGCTTAGTTTTCAAATTATGCTTGAGGTGATGAGAAAGAACAAGATTATTGTCCTTTCTAATTCTAAGACCTTGAGAAACAATGATTGTGCCCTCTTCATAGTTTTGAGAGAAACAAAAATATTGTCAAGTAGTTAATTTGTATATGCTAGATAGCATGCCAACTAAGAGAAAGATGAGCATGATAACGGTTCAAGTAAAGCACTAAACAGAACTCTATTTTATGACTAGAGATCAATATCATACAATAGGATGTTGTGACCAAGTAGGGATGATTAGGAGATTTGATAAGACTTCCTTACATTTGTCCTGAGAACTACATGGACATCATCATCCTAATTTACATGGAAGTCTATTTCCCCTCCACGACTTGCGTTGAATATGTTTGAACCGATGTCTTAGTTTTGAATCATAATAACCTATTATTATTTAATTTGTCAAGATTGAAAAATAGTTTGATTATGTATTAGTGACATTTTATATTAATGCTTGGATAAATTCATTGGGTATGGTCTTTGATAGATTGTGAAACCATGTTTCATTAAGAATTAAAAAAGAAAATCAAATATGATAAAAGAAGGTAGGAAAACCATTCCATATAAGAAAAAAATATAGAAATAATGAATTTGTCTACAAAATAGTGATTCAATTTGGCTTAGGTTTAGCAAAGAAATCTCAATGCTACTCATGTTTGCATGCTACTTTCAATCGGTGTAATGGTTGTGGTTTGAGTGTTTCCAACTGGTGCAGCTTTTGGGGTTAGAGCACTGCTTTCAACTGACGCAACCTCCGGGGTTAGAGCACTGCTTTCAACTGACGCAACCTCCGGGGTTAGAGCACTGCTTTCAACTGACGCAACCTCCGGGGTTAGAGCACTGCTTTCAACTGACGCAACCTCCGGGGTTAGAGCACTGCTTTCAACTGACGCAACCTCCGGGGTTAGAGCACTGCTTTCAACTGACGCAACCTCCGGGGTTAGAGCACTGCTTTCAACTGACGCAACCTCCGGGGTTAGAGCACTGCTTTCAACTGACGCAACCTCCGGGGTTAGAGCACTGCTTTCAACTGACGCAACCTCCGGGGTTAGAGCACTGCTTTCAACTGACGCAACCTCCGGGGTTAGAGCACTGCTTTCAACTGACGCAACCTCCGGGGTTAGAGCACTGCTTTCAACTGACGCAACCTCCGGGGTTAGAGCACTGCTTTCAACTGACGCAACCTCCGGGGTTAGAGCACTGCTTTCAACTGACGCAACCTCCGGGGTTAGAGCACTGCTTTCAACTGACGCAACCTCCGGGGTTAGAGCACTGCTTTCAACTGACGCAACCTCCGGGGTTAGAGCACTGCTTTCAACTGACGCAACCTCCGGGGTTAGAGCACTGCTTTCAACTGACGCAACCTCCGGGGTTAGAGCACTGCTTTCAACTGACGCAACCTCCGGGGTTAGAGCACTGCTTTCAACTGACGCAACCTCCGGGGTTAGAGCTTCGGGAGTTTGAGCGATGCTTCCAAATGGTGCTGCCACTAAAACTTCTGTGCTACTTCCAATTGGTGCAACAGTTGGGGCTTGTGTGTCATGTGATCCAAAGGCACGAAATGAAAATTGATGATCGAGATTTCCAACACCGGTTTCATCTCCAAAAGTGGCACCCACTTTTGCACAATATTGCCAAGCAATCACTAAGGAAAGGGTGTGAAAGAGCTTGAAACCTTTGCCCATGGCCATTGTGGAGTGTCTTGAAATTGTAGGGCTACAAGCTCGTTTCACAAATGATGAAGAGTAGCAATGACTAAGGTGTGGGTGCTTGGATTTCTCTGATGATGTGAAGCCCTATAGATGATGTGAAGCCCTATATATAGTTTGATGGAGAACCTATATTTAGAAAAGACAAGGCTCTTAAATTTTGTGGGTTTGGGAATATTCCAAGTATAGAATGTTTGACTATTTAATTTCTCCCTCCTTCCTTTGACCTTCATTTAAAGATAATTATATTTTTAAACAAAAACATATTCTAACCTTTGTCACTTTTATTTGGAATAAATTAATATATTATTTTATTTCATGAACTTGATATTATTCTATAATATGGTAGATATTTTCTTCTATGTGGATGATACTTGATTGGATTATTTGTCTCATTCATACAACACATTTATAGCATGAGGAATAAGGTTGTCGCAATTGTTTGTAGTTTTGAGAACAAGTTTGTGATCGTGATAAATAGTAAGGTTATTGCAATTCTTTGTAGTTTTGACACCATATTTGAGACAGTAAAAAAATAAGGTTGTCGTCGCTTTTTGTAATTCTAAGACCATGAGAAACAATCTTGTAGTTTGGAGATTATGAGCAATAGACTTTGTATTTTTTAGAACATGTTTGACACTATGAGAAAGAATAAGGTTATTGTCATTTCTAAATCTAAAATCATGAAAAATAATGAGGTTGGCACCACTCTTCGTAATTTTGAGATCATGAGAAACAACAATGTTACCGTGTAGCTAATTTGTATGTTCTAGATACCATGCCAAGTAGGTGAAACATGAGCATTAATAGGGTTCAGGTTGTATGACCGATGATCAATATCATACGGTTGGGTGTTGTAATATTGTAGGGATGATTAGGAGACTTGCTAAGAGTATTTGCATGGTCTTGCCAGAATATGGGGTCACTTCCTCACATTTGACCTAAGGACTTTTGAGTTGAGTGATAAGATATCACGCCTAGATAAAAACTTTAATTGGGCTAGACTATGAGAACGGTAGAAAGCTAAAATGACTTAAATAGGATTAGAACATAAGAAACCATATCTTTGAGGGTTTGAATTTCAAATAATTCCTACAAATATTTGTTTTTCTTTAAAAAACTATAGTATTGCTAGTTACCTCTTTTTTTCGAATTGGGGACCTTGTTTCTTGAGCTTGTGATCCTCGAGTGAAACCTAATCGGCCACGCTAGTGTACCTAATCGGCCACGCTAGTGTCAAGATAGACAAATCCATGAGATGATTGAGGAGGGAGGTGCATCATCCAACACACCTGTAAAAAAGCTAAGGCATATGCAAGACAGAGGCAACCATGTCGACATGAGTATCAATAATAGGCTTTTTGAATGGTCAGGGAGGGCAGCCTTGACCTCTAAAGCCAAAGTTTTAGAGAGAATTTGGTTATACTACTTTGATCTATATAAAATATGAAAGCCCACTAAATTTTGTGTCCATCAAACATGCTCTACGACATCACATGTTGGTTCACCTAAATCATGTCAAGATTTGAAATGCCTCAATGTTTTAGACGAAGGCATTGTGTCAGTTCTCCACAACCCTTGAGCCCTATGGCCTAAGCGAGCTACTCTATGGCATATGGTCTGGTCATAATGAAGGCGAACAACTCTTGAGCCCTATGGCCTAAGCGAGCAACTCTACTCTATGACATTGCTTTTTTTAGTTTTAGTTTGTATTTTGGTTGAATTCCAATCCCTAGTATCCGTTCTTGTATTTATTTGAATCTTTTTAAACTTTTGTTGTTTTAAAGTCTTAAAAAAGATTTTATCACTTTTCATTGTGACTTAGTCTGTCACCAGCCTCATCGTAGACGTCCTCTAAGTAAAGTTCTGAAAAAAATATTTGTAATTTCAAATATCGTGAGATAGAATAAAATTTTTATCAATGCAATTTTCTTATTTGATTAATTGGATCCAATTTTGCAATTTTTTTTTCGCAACTATAGAAATAGTGTCCCGCATAAATAATTTTTTTTAAAATTATTAATTTTTTATTCTAATGAGATGCATCAATAATTTTTCCTAGTTGAAGTTTTTACAAATATTCAACTACAAATATTCAACAATAATTTTTCCTAGTGAGGCAATGGTTGGGGTTTGAATGCTTCCCACTGGGGCAGCCTGGGGTTAGAGCAATGCTTTCACCTGACGTAAACTACGAGGTTAGAGCAATGCTTTCACCTGACGTAAACTACGAGGTTAGAGCAATGCTTTCACCTGACGCAACCTTTGAAGTTAGCGACTCAAGAGTTTGAGGTGCAACCACTAGGACATCTGTGCTACTCCCAATTGGTACAACCGTTGGGGCTTGTGCGTCACGTGATCCAAAGGCACGAAATGAAAATTACGAGATTTACGACACCAATAACATCGCCATAAGTGAGGGTATGGTCTTTGAGTAGACTGTGAAACTGTGTTTCATTAAGTTTCAAAAATATCATTCTTTAATTAAAGGAGAAAATTGTGTTTCATTAAGTTTCAAAAATATCTCTTTAATTAAAGGAGAAAATTAAATATGAGAAAAGAAGGTAGGAAACCCATTCCATTTAAGAAAAAAATATAGAAATAATGAATTTGTGGATTCAATTTGGCATAGGTTTAGCAAAGAAACCTCAATGCTACTCTCGTGTTTGAGTGCTACTTCCAATTGGTGTAATGGTTGTGGTTTGAGTGCTTCCAATTGGTGGAGCTTCTGGGGTTAGAGCACTGCTTTCAGCTGACGCAACTTCCGGGGTTAGAGCACTGCTTTCAGCTGACGCAACTTCCGAGGTTAGAGCACTGCTTTCAGCTGACGCAACTTCCGAGGTTAGAGCACTGCTTTCAGCTGACGCAACTTCCGAGGTTAGAGCACTGCTTTCAGCTGACGCAACTTCCGGGGTTAGAGCACTGCTTTCAGGTGACGCAACCTCCGGGGTTAGAGCATTGCTTTCAGCTGACGCAACCTCCGGGGTTAGAGCATTGCTTTCAGCTGACGCAACCTCCGGGGTTAGAGCCTCGGGAGTTTGAGCGATGCTTCCAAATGGTGCTGCCACTAAAACTTTTGTGCTACTTCCAATTGGTGCAACCGTTGGAGCTTGTGGGTCATGTGATCCAAAGGCACGAAATGAAAATTGATGATCGAGATTTACGACACCAGTTTCATCCCCAAAAGTGGCACCCACTTTCGCACAATATTGCCAAGTAATCACTAAGAAAAGGGTGTGAAAGAGCTTGAAACCTTTGCCCATGGCCATTATGGAGTGTCTTGCAGTTGTAGGGCTACAAGCTCGTTTCACATATGATGAAGAGTAGCAATGGCTAAGGTGTGGGTGCTTGAATTTTTATGATAATGTGAAGCCCTATATATAGTTTGATGCGAAAACTATATTTAGAGAAGACCACAACATTTAAAAAGGCTCTTAAATTTATGGGTTTGGGAGTATTTCAAGTATAGAATGTTTGACTATTTAATTTCTAATTTCCCCCTCTCTTCATTTGACCGTCATTAAGGATAATTATATTTTTAAACAAAAACATACCATTCCTAGTCTCTCCTACTTTTATGTTTTATAAATTAATATTTTAAGTTATTTCATGAACTCAAAGTTATTCTATAATATGGTAGAGATTTTCTTCTCTATGGATGATGATTGAATTATATGTCTCGTTCATACAACACATTTATAGCATGAGAAATAAGGTTAGTGTAATTCTGTGTAGTTTTGAGACCACATTTGAGACCGTGAAAAAATAAAGTTGTCACAGAGATTAGGTGCAACAGTAAGATTTTCTCTACTATTTGTAGTTTAGAACATGTTTGAGAATATAAGAAAGAACAAGGTTATTTTCATTTTTAAATCTAAAACCTTGAAAAATAATGAGATTGGAACCACTCTTAGTAGTTTTGAGATCATGAGAAACAATAATATTACCATGCCAAGTAAGTAAAACATGAGCATGATAAAGGTTCAGATTATGCACTACACAACACTCGATTTTATGACAAGTGATCAATATCGTATACGGTAGGATGTTGTGACATCGTAGGAATGATTTGGAAACTTGCTTGGATCATACATTTTGGTAATTTGTTCCTTCTAATTTGTTTAGGCACTAAACATTCCTTCTAATTAATCACCTGTATAAGTGTGAGTATACACTATCTGACATGAACCAAGACATCAATCATGCAATATAAACTTCAAGGAAGATGTAAAGAAAATATTGTGCAAATTATCACAATATGTTGATTCACGCCACATTGAAGAATAATAAATCTTCATTTGTTTACAAATTTTGGGTGGATGATAATCTAGAGTCATGACATTTCTTTAATGTAATTAAGACATATTTACACCGTAGCTAATTATGGTCATAAATTATGAAAGTTACGACTCTTAGAACTCTTAGAATTCCTCATATAAGGTTAAAAGCTTTAATTTTGAGGCTATATAAGGGTTGTCTTTGTTTGTAAAGCTGACTTGAAAAATTTAGTAAGAAGAGGCTTTCCTTTAACCAATTGCTAAGTTTTATTGCAATTTTAAGTAGTTTAGGTTGCACATTTAGAGTCATTCAGCTTTATATGATCGACCTTGCTCGTGGAGTCATTCGAATCTCAATCAAATGTTTTTGCCTTGAGATATTTCATCTACTTCTAGTTATACCTTATCATTAATGTTAAGTGTTCTTACATTTTCCATTAGCCAATAGATAAGCATCTTTGCAATTCTACATAGTTTAGATTGCATCTTTAGAATGTCTTTGTAATTCTACGTCGTTTAGATTGCATCTTTAGAATCATTCATGTTAGATCTGATCGATCTTGCTTCTGGAGTGATTTGAATCTCAATCAAGTGTTTTTACCTTGATATATTCGATCAACAAGTTAATCTAAATCTTAAAAGGGATTCCTTATCATTTGAAATCAAAGACTTACCTTAGATTAATTTCATGCCACCGTCACACGTATCAAGTAATAAGTAAATTACCAATTCTACAAAGAGTTTAATAAATTCTTTTTAATCCCTCAGTGAGAAGTATATGTGTTACATCATTTATGATTGTTATCGTTTGTTTGTTGCTGTTTACTGACTATTCCAACTATGATACCGTAAGTGGGATATAGCAGAGAGGAATCATGAATGACAAGATCCGATCCCATTAAGATCAACAGATGGAAGTATGTAATCTTAAGCTGCTGGTCTATTCATTTCCCAAAATAGGTGATGGTGCTGACTCTCTTCTAAAATCCTAAATATGTGCTAATAAACTTGTGCTGTTACTTTTCATGGCTATAGTTCAACTAAAATTGGGACATGTTAGTTTCAATATCCTCATTGAATTATTAAGACTTCTCAGCCTTAATCCAACCTCTTAAATAATCTCAAAAGAATTAATTATCCTTAATATAGTATAAATGGTAAGATTACATTTCACGGTCAAAAGTTTTAACTTCAAACATTTTTTTCATTCAACTAGATAAATACAACCGTAACTATATCTTGTTGCATAAGGAAAATATATAAAGATGATATAGGAAATAAGAAAATGGTCTCCCACAATGCAATAAGTTTTCCTCTTTTTGTAGATTCATAGATGATGATGGTTTATGATTATATGATCTATGAATTATGATGATGTATGAGTTATGATGCTTGATGATGTACGTAGTATATATATTTTGATGAATGACGTACTTGATATGCTTGATGCACTTTATGGCAATATGGTGAGTATGATGATTGCATGATGTTTACCTTAATATGATGATGTTTTCCATATTGAGCATGATATATGATGAGTGTCATATTGCATCATGTTGTTAGATCGACATAGAACTGATACGATAAGGAATCAACTACAAGGGGAATAAGATTCGGATTACCTTGTTGATCGAATATCTCAAGGCAAGAACACTTGATTGAGATTCGAATCACTCCACAAGCAAGATCGATCATGTCTAGCTTGAATGATTCTTGTTGATCAAATATCTCAAACACTTGTTTGAGATTCGAATCACTCCACAAGCAAGATTGATCATGTCGAGCTTGAATGATTCTACATGCAATCTAAACTACATAGAATTGCAAAGAAACTCAGCCATTGGCTAAGAAAAAGCACAAATGCTTCTTTTAATATATTTTCCAAGTCTGCCTACAAATACAACCTACATGGCTTTATATAGCCTCAAAATGAAACTACTAAAGGCATTCCAAGAGTTGTAACATTCATACTTAATGGCAATAATTAACCATTATGTAATTGTAACCTAAAGTAAATTAAAAGTCTTAAACTACATTAATGAAATACAATAACTCTAAATTACTCTAAATTATAACCCACCCAAAATTTATAACAATCAAACTTCATTCTTCTTCAATGTGGCATGAATTGAAACATCTTTTTGATAATTTTGACAACTTTTTCTTCACATCTCCATTGAAGGATATTGTAGGGTTGATGTCTTTTGGTTCATATCATTCTCCACTTCTTCAAGAGGATTCGTCCTCGAATCTAATTGTGAAACTTTGCTGCAAAAAATAAGTTATGGAAATACAAAGGACCTCCCAACACTCTCTCACGAGTATACACTCAAGGAATTTTAGGCCACTCTTTTTACACACGTTTACACAAATGAAACTCTCATTCTCACCTCTCAAAATTGTAAATAGAGCAAAGATTGAATTTTGAACTCTGGGTCGATTCAAAACTAAAAAGATAAAAATAAATAAAAATAAAATTGAGAAGAAACGCAAAGGAAACATATATCCGATCTTGAGCCTGAAGCTCTGATACCAAATGATATGGTAAGGAATCAATACAAGGGGAATAAGATTCGGATTACCTTGTTGATCGATTGTCTCAAGTCAAGAACACTTGATTGAGATTCGAATCACTCCACAAGCAAGATCGATCATGTCTAGCTTGAATGATTCTTGTTGATCAAATATCTCAACGCAAGAACACTTGTTTGAGATCCGAATCACTCCACAAGCAAGATTGATCATGTCGAGCTTGAATGATTCTACATGCAATCTAAACTACATAGAATTGCAAAGAAACTTAGCCATTGGCTAAAGAAAAGCACAAATGCGTTTTTTACTATATTTTTCAAGTCTGCCTACAAATACAACCTACATGGCTTTATATAGCCTCAAAATGAAACTACTAAAGGCATTCCAAGAGTTGTAACATTCATACTTAATGGCAATAATTAACCATTATGTAATTGTAACCTAAAGTAAATTAAAAGTCTTAAACTACATTAATGAAATACAATAACTCTAAATTACTCTAAATTATAACCCACCCAAAATTTATAACAATCAAACTTCATTCTTCTTCAATGTGGCATGAATTGAAACATCTTTTTGATAATTTTGACAACCTTTTCTTCACTTCTCCATTGAAGGATATTGTAGGGTTGATGTCTTTTGGTTCATATCAAGAACACAACCCTAAGAGCATGAAAATGATATTAATATAAATATCTACGAGTAACAAAGAGATGAGACTAGAGGGTTGTGTCAGAAGAGATGATAAGATGGACATTGGAGGGACCTCATGTGTATTTTATGTTCATAAGCATAGGGATACTTCATCTTGAGATGATGAGTGCAGACATGCACAATATGATGATGAGTTCGATTGCGCAAAGTATGACGAGCAAGGTGTTCATGAGGTGCATGACACTATGGGGTTCCACTCACCTCTGGATGTCGCTATGGGGTTCAGGGGTGTGCGAGCGCCCTGGGGATTAACACTCGCACGTGTGATTCGTATGTACAGAAGTACTACACATCCAATTTGTTCAAGCTGAAAGTCACCCCTAGATGAGCTAGAGATATGTCCCTAAATCACGGTTGCATGTGTTTGCATTTGCATGCCCCCCTATACTAAGGCCATGTGCCACATCATTTTTCAGGTAAAGGCAAGGCGCACTTGTACGGAGGAGGATGGTGGCAACGCGATCAGAGACGGTGGCACGTGCATAGGGTAGACCCATATTTAAATTCCTAGTCTTATATTAAAATAAGTTGTTTTGTACTTCAATTATTTTAAATTATTTTGTATTTGTTTTATTTATTTTTTCTCAACTTTAGTATTTCGTTATGGCTATGTTTTATAGAGAGAGTTTTCGAAGTTTATGTTATAAATGATGTTTATTTTAAAAAGTTATATTTCTATTAGAATTGAGTGAGATGTTAGTAGCCATGGAAATTTAGGGCCCTTACCCTGATGTGATTACTTAATATGTAAAATGTTTTTGGTATTTAATTTCTAAGAAAAATCTAAATAATTAAAAAAAAATCGAGATAAAAGAAAAGAAAGATGTAAGATATAACTTATCTTAATAACAAACTAACATCTCTCTCATTAAATGTGCAAACTAAAATACAAATTAATTTTTAATTGAATACTTTTAAATGTTAAAATAATTAATTTCTTATTCTAATTAGATCATTAGGACTCTATTTAAAAAAAAAAAAAACCATCAAATATAAAACTATTAGATGTGATATATACAAGATAGTTAATTGAGAATATTCATTATCAATATTATTTTGATTTATGATAATGACAATAAAAAAAAAAAAAAAAAAAAAAAAAAAAAAAAAAAATAT